GACTCCTTTTTTGGGCGGCTGTATAGAAGCATGCAGCTTACATACTGAGAAACTTCAAAAATATCCCGTCTCTACATGACACCTGGTGCTGTTTGCTCTTCTGATCCTATTGTCAAGGGTGGTATACATTTCCTTGCTCTGCATGAGAAGAATGTAAAACAATTTATTTTTACTTAGGTATATTTTTTTCCCAGAAGTATTTCCTTTTATTTAAGATTTAAAATTCTTTTACCAAATTTATGAAAATTTCAAAGACTCTACAACAGGATATGGCATGGTATGTATACCTGATAAATATTTATCATCTCTGGTGTTTATTGTTACAGAGTCAGTTAACAAGGATGTGCCCCTTCAGATCTTGGTACCCCCTACAAGGCTTGGGGTGAAGTGAAGGAAAGACTGGAAATGGTAGGTTTAAACTCTTGATGACGGTAGTTGGGGTGGCTAGTAATCTGCTCACTTTTTAAAGCCCACATCCACTTTAGAAACTTAATCCTGGGCCTCTGGGGTAGAAGACTTTTGGAGAAATAAGCTAAGAGCACTACTCATTCTTTGCATAAAGTAGTCCTCCTGAGATGCAGAGTATACCGGAATATCAGCAAGACATGCAAATATCAATTCATTTAATCCTCATGACAATTCTAGGTAGTAGACACTATTATTAGCCTCACCTACAGATAAGGAAATGGAGGCTCAGAGAGACAAAATGATTTGTCCATATTCTTAGTAAGTGGTAGAGCTGGACTCAGACCTGATTCATTAACTCCAACGTCTGCTCTTAATCATTGTCCATGCTACCCCTCTGAATGCATTATGCTCTCTTTTCATGAAGCGTCTGAACTAGTTAAGATATTTTCCTGAGTGGTAGAAAGAATGGTGTCAAGTTAAAACCTTTTTTTTTTTTCCCCAATTACATTGTTTAAAAGTTGTTGTTTTCCTTTAGTGACCAGTTAGGCTTAGAAGCCTCTATTCACTTGAATCCTTGTTAGACTTGCTAGGTCTTCACTTTCAAACAATCTGCCAGTTTTTAGACTCAAATTTAAATTAAAAAGAAATTTCACTGCCTTCCCTGTGATCTAGGGGCAAACATGAGGTCTCAGTCTCTCCTGGGTTTCCTTGTAGATAGTAAAGAAATGTTTTCTTTGCAGATTTCATGGCATCATATTCACAGTGTGTCCTTCACACAAGATTTATATCTTACTCTGCAAATGCAAGTCTCGTAGCACTGTCTGCTGTTGAGAAAGTGAGCACAAGCAAAACAAAGCTTAGAAAACTGGCAAGAGGTAAAATTTCATTTGTGACTGCCAGGCAGACGGCAGCAGCCTTCTGGAAAGACAGTGGCCCAGCGACATCCTTCTGGCTGCCAGTGCAGACAGGGGCTGCATCCGGGAGCTGTCTCTATCTGCCTCCTTGCAGAGAAGCCTCTGCTTCTCCATTGGAAAACTACAAATTTAGCACCCAGAGGAAAGATGGGAGCCAGATAACTCAATCCTTATCAAGCACACCTGAAGAAAACTGGGGTCAACTTTGGGTTTGTGAGGACTTCTCCCCAATTTAGAATGGAAGACTGTTTAGACTTTTCTTCCATTTTCCAAATTTCCCCTAGTATTGATTCTGAGTTGAAAACTGTCACCGCTCACTTGTTTTTCACTAGGCTGCATGTGTGTTTCCCACCCTCCACTTCAAGTCACCTCAGGTTTCCCTGGACACTTCTTTCTTCCTGTTCACTTTCACTTCTTCAGGCTATGAAAAGAGGGCCATCTCCGTCAGCTCATGTGAACTGGACAAATCCCAGTCACTCTGGAATATTGCTCCATTTATAACAAGAACAAGTTTAGTGTTCCTAGTGGGCCAGCCACCTTCTAAGAACTTTATAGACAGACATAACTCATTTAACTCTGCAAACAATCTGATACTATGAAGACACCCACTATAGAGAGGAGGAAGTCAGGGCACAGCAGCTTACAGACACACCCGAGGCCCTACAGCCAGTAACCACTGTCAGGGGCCAAGAAGCTCCACAGTGACTGGGTTCCTGATCACTTGTTTCTGTATTTTTGGTTCCCAAAAATTTTAATTTGGATGAGAAGACACAACTCAATCACTCGGGTCACACCCAGTTCTGAGAGCATAGAGCTTGGGCTGCTCAGCTGGAGACTGTCTGAGATGCTCACCTGTGAGTTGCTACCAACAGGCAGGCCTCTCAGCGCACTGCACACCCATCCCAGCCTACTTTACTTCCCATCCATTGTGTTAGCAAATCAAACTGCTGGAGAGCTGCATTCTGAATTTTCCAAAAGACATGACAGACACCTATTGGCTTCATTTCTCCTGACTTGCAGTGGGATAAAAGTAAACAAGAAATCACGGCACAGAGACCCTGGCGGTGGTGGGGGTACACCACGGCCGGACGGGCAGGCCAAGGTTCAAGGGAACCTTGGCAGCAACTGCACTCAGTCATCAGGAGCCTGTACGCCTTCCAGATGTTGACTTCCAGGCAGTTACCAGGAGAGAGTCTGCTGGCTACTTAGTGGCCTCTGGCAGAGTTTCACTTCCTGTGTCCAAGGGCAGAGAAGATGGGGCAGATGCTCAGAGCCACATAAACTGGCATTCGTCAGGCAATTCAAAAATTTGTTCTCACAGATTCCCCAAACCCCAGAAGAAATTTCATATGGCTGAGGACTCCGGTTTCCGCCCGCCAGCAGCGCAACATCTATCTGAGCGGCGGCACACGTGAGGGTCTCTCCTGAGGAGCTCAGCTTCTCTGTGAGCGAGTGGGATCTGCTCTGACACAATCATCTCCTTCCCCGCTTCCTTTTTTGGCCCAGGGCAAAGATTCATTTAATTTTATTTTGTAAAGATCCTTGTTTACTTTTTCACAATATGGAATTTGTCCCTCTGGTGCAGTCACCTTAGTTTTCCCACCACCGAAGCACCCACAGTCCCCTCCACTCCACCTGGCTCTGTGTCCCTCCCATCGCCCCCCCAACCCCAGCTAACATTACTGAGACTGTTGATGTTGGACTAGATCAGTAATACGGCTGCAATGCCCTGGCATAGGGAGGGGGGAAGGACAGAAATAGAGAAATAGAAATGAAGAATTTTTACACTGGGACGTGAAACCATAGCTCTTCTAGCCCATCTTTTGATGACTACTGTATGACCTTGAGCAAATCTCTTAAACTCTGTCTCAATGTCCTCAGGCACAAAATAGGATTCATCCACCTGCCCTCTCTTTACCCATGAGCTGCTGGCTCTCATGAATTTAGCGACTGGAAGCATTATGAAATGCTACCTATTCCCAACAAGCCACAGCAAAGTCCTCTAGCTGTTCCCTGTATCTTCAGCAGGTTACTGAAAAGTCTGCATTGAAATTGGCCTCTAAGTGATGATGGTGGGTCACCATTCACCTCAGAAGCAGACAAAAAGGTGTGGAGGAATAACTGGAAAGCCATGATCTGGAAAAATGTCCTTTCTGGACTTGGTGGTAAATAAGGTAATCTCTCATCTTAAAATGTTGCCTGCCATTTTTTGGACACTACCTTCCCTTTTGGGCTATTTAGCCACCTTAGGGGGCACTACTAGAGCAGTGCCAGGCACCCATTTCTCCATGGACCACTGAACCCTGAAAAAAAGAATCCTATAACCCTATTATTCACCTTCCCTCCAGGGGAGGACTGACCAATATACTGCTATTACTGACTGGTATAATAAGACAACTTCAGTAAACTTTTTTTCCTTAAACATGCACCTAAAAGTTAGTACCCAAACTTTGATATCTCTAAAGACTCCAAACATCAAGCTGCCAGACAATAAACACAGGCTGTGAGTTCATCAAAGTCCTAGTAGGTCACCTCCACCTGCCATTTTGGTAAGATGTTTTGGTTAAAAAAAAATTTTTTTTTTGGTCCTTCTCATCTGAGATTCTTTTCAGAATCTGTTTTGCTGTTGTAGCAGTTTTAAATGAGTGCTCTCCTAAGAGGCAGACGGTCATCATATTTTCCAAGAGCGAGAAATGGAAACAGCAGAAAGGCAAGTCACTTTGCCCAGGGGCCGTGGTTTTTCTCAGCATCAACAACAAGGAGCTTTGCTTCAGCCAATCAAGACAAAACGAACCTCCAAGGCTCCAAAAGCAGCATGACCAGCATTTGGAGGGGGAACCCTATTTCAACTGAACCTGGCTGGGTCAGAAAATACTTCCAAGCTGCAGTTTCCCCATCTGTGAACTCTGAGATAATGGAGAAACCGACAGAGCCTGCAACTTTGAATAGTCTGCAAAAACCTACACTACATCTCATGGGAAGAAGTGCAAAATGAAGACACTTCACCTACATTCCCTTCCCTCTAGAACTTGCTCTCCCCAAAATAAAGCCAATGCAGCTCAAAATACTCAACAGTGGTCTTGACTCTGGGGTGGAAACGCTGTCTTAGGTCCCCAGGAGACGCATGTTTCTGGGCAATGAATTGGACCAATTAACTCCCAGCTTGTTATTCTGGGATCTACCAGTGTATCTTGAGATAATAGCTAGCTTCTTGTAGCCTAAGGGCTGAGAGAAGGCCATCCATCTGTGGCCAGGACAGGAAACAGGCAACATTTAGCTGATGTTCCCAGAACCATAGTACGAGAGAGCAATTGTTAACTTTTACTCCAGAGAGCAAGTTCTGAGTGTAAGGAGTAAAGTACAGGTGAGATGGCTGGGATTTCCCTAATACACTCCCACCTAAGGGTAGGACGGGTTCTTGCTAAAGAGGCAGCCCAGTTCCCAAGCTTGTCGTGGGCACACCGACTCATGTATGCAAAGGTGTGGTTAGCATGCAAAGACTCCAGACATTATCTTGATATTTAAGAAATGTTAAGCACCACTAGCAGCCGATTAAGAATGAAGTCTTCGGAGCACATGAGGTCGGGTGTGTGTATGTGTGTGTGTGTGTGTAAACTGGGGAGAATTAGGGAGCTGGCATCTAACCAGTGTGTCCTCAGTGAGGTGGGGGAGCATTACCTGATCAGGTCGAGGAAAGAGTCGACTGTCTCCTTGGGGGCCGGAGAAGGCCCCGACACGTCCAGTCCCAGGTCTCTGGACTGGAGAATCTGGGCACCAGACCCAGGCTTGATGATGAGAGCCAAAGCGACCCCGAGGGCCGAGGCGCCCAGGGTGGTAAGGCCAAAGTAGGCGACGGCGATGCCGCCTAGGCGCCCGAGAGAACTGGCGTCGAGGGAGGCGGCACCCGACACCAGGCTGCAGACCACCAGCGGCAGGATGATCATGCGCAGCATGCGGAGCAGCATCTCGCCGGGAAAGGCCAGGTAGGTGATCTGCGTGCGATTCAGCCCGAACCCGCGCAGCGCGGCGCCCAGACCCGCGCCCGCTATCACACCAGACACAGTGAAGAGCACCAGCGCGTTGCGCCGCAGGAAGCCCGCGCAGCGACGCGCGCCCCCCGCGGCGGTCTCCGGGGCGCCAGGCCCTGTTCCGGGGCCCTCCCGGACGTTGTCTAAGTAGCCGTGGGTCTCGCCGCTCTTCTCCATGACGCTCTTCTCCAAGGCGCTGACTCGGCTCATAGCTGCGAGGAACCTAGGCGCTGGGGCGCTGGGAAAAGAGCAAGCTCTCAATGAATGGATGCGGCAGAGGCGGCGAGCTCAGCCGCTGTGCCAGGCGGGTTCCGAGAACTGACCCGCAGCGGGCTACAGGCCAGGGCGCAGGCAGGTGCGAGGAGGACGTGAGGAGGCGCGGGACTGCGGGCTGGACCTCTAGACCGAGTGGATCGCGCCGCGCCCTGTCTCCCCACGCGGTGGCCGGCTGGGATGATGCAACCAGCGAACAGCCAGAAGAACAGCGGCTGGCAGGAGGGAGGGAAGGAAGGTGGCCCCCCCCCCGGCCCCCCTCACACCGCCGCCCCGCCCCCGAGCTTCCGCCCAATCAGCGCTCGGAGCCCAGTCCGCGCGCCCCTCGCCTCCGCCCGGACCCCGAGTGGGGGAAGGGCGGCCGAGTCGGGGGCGCTGCCTTAGGCCGCCCGGCGCCGGCTGGAACCGTCAAACCGGCGCTTTCGGCCTTCTCCCCGCCCTGCTAACGGGCATCAGCTCCTGACCGACGGGTCGCGGATTGTTGGCACCTGTCAGGGCTGCTCGGACCGGCTGGGGTCTGGGTCCTCTGGTTCAGAGGGCTGGGGAGAATTTGGAACGCAACGGTGTTCCTTGTTCTGGGGGAGGGGAGGGCTTCTTTAAGGGTGCTTTTGGGCCCTAGGGTGCCACCGAGCTCTTGCGAAGGGGCTGCGTGTAGTAGGGAACCTGGGATCAAGCTCCTGCCTCTTTCTCCCTCCAGTATAAAATCCCACTTGGGAGTTCGGTAGATTTGAATGTGATAAAGCACCCCAGGGTGCCCATGCATGCACTATAGTCGCAAAGGATAAGTGTATGCATGAATGAATGAGTGAATGAATTTGAAAGTTTTATCGCGAGCATCAGTGAAATGAAGTCTGCGGTGACATCAAATCGAGCGCCCCTGCGTGCACCAGGGCGTTCCCAGGTGCATGGTGTTAGCCCCTGGGGTAAGGCTGGGTGACCTAGCCACAGTCTATGGCATGGTGGCTGAAGGAGCAAAGTCTTGAAGAAGAAACAGAACTCACTCATCACCACTTACTTCCAGCTGGGTTGCTACTAGGCAACCTCAAACCACAGGACTCTCATTTCCCGACCCCTAGCCCCAGGCACGAAAATAGCACCACAACTGTTTAAGAAGCTGGCTCCTTAATTCTTCTTCTTCTTTCTTTTCTTTCTTTTTTTTTTTTTTCTTAACATCTGCTCTGGTCGGGCAGATTTTTTTTTTAATTGCCACATTTATTAGATTTTTTGGTATTATTCTGTTTTTGAAAGGGGTTGTTTTTTTAAGACTTCTGTGAAAGGTTAGCGGTTAGTCTGAATTGAGGAAACTAACTTGTGGTTAGTCTGACTTGAGGAAAGATTCAATTTACTACAGTTTTCTTGTTGAAGGGGAGTTATCTTTTTTCTTTTTAAGAGAATATTTTAAAAAAAGATTTATTTATTTATGCATACAGAACTGGGGTACAGGCCAGAGGTGCAAGGGCCTGAGAGGGTTCACCAGAGACACAGTGGGGAGCAGAACAGGCCAACTGACAAAGAACACTGCTGAAGGGAGCAGCTGGCGGGTCAGGAGAGGTCTGCCACCATGTGTAGTAACCTCTGGGGCACTCGGGAATCGACCTCATGCTGAAGTGGTTTTAGCTTCTTAGTGCTCTGCCACCAGGGAGGGCCCAAGCAGGAGATTTCTTAAAACAAGTCATGACAGATGTTTGTGCAAATTAAAATGCCTTCATAATGAAGAGCTGTCCAAATTTTGATACAGTGAGGATTTTGTTGATTGAAGCCAACCAGTCAGTGGTTGGAACTTGTGTTTTGGGGGGAAGTAAGGCGAAGAGCTGTATGTATTTAAATCTGGTTTTGCAGAACACCGTTTATTTTTCTGTTTGCACTGAAGAAAGTAATGTCTACACTTTTTGGCCAACTAGCCACTCCCCTTGTTTTTTGTTTGCTACTTTTATGCAAAAGATTCAAATCATGCTCCAGAAATGAATTTCCAATTGCCTACTTTTCTTCTCCTGGATATCCTGCAGGCATCCCAGCTCAGCATGTTCAAAATTGAATTCTTGGTTGCCTTCCTCAAGTCTGTTCTGATTCTCATATTGCTGTTACCAACATGATTAACCACCAAGTCACCTCTGCTTGAACCCTCCAAGTGATGTTAGATTTTCCCTCCTCTAGTGTTTTCTCTCATCTGATCTATTCACATTTTCTTTTTTTTTTT